ATTTTTTTTGGTATAAAAATATACAATCAAGTATTAATGCTCCTATGATAAGTTAGAAAAATCCAAACAACGCATTTATCTTTTCAATGAATTAAAAATTATAAAATAAAAGCAAAATAAAATATTTTACTTAAGCATAGAGTAGCCCACTTGAAGACGTATTGAATACAATCGAACGACGATGAAGTAATGTTAAGGAGTTAATGAAGATCAACTCACTCGATCCAATTTCCCCACCCCCAACCTCTATATTGATTTATTGGATAAAAACTTACGTAGATTAAAGTTTTAATGTAGGTAACATGCATCCGTTTTCAATAGTAAATTCAATACTCCCCCCCCCCCTACGTAATGAATGTGCTGATCAATCACTTAAGAAAGAAATAATGAGTCTTAGGTGTCTGGGTGACAGACGATACCTCCATTACGAATGAACAGCGTCCTCTGACATTTCCGTTATGGAAACTATAGTCAATGATATTTTTATATGGAACTGTGTACCTGAAATCAGGGCCAAATTCTTCAGCACTTACAAAGAGCAATCTGATCTAATGCAGAAAGCCATAGAACTGAAGAAAGCATTACAAATTGATGGCAAACCAAAAAGCCTCTCACTTCCCCAAAGCGCATTAGCAGAAACTGATGTACAATGTTGCACCCAACTGCTTGACCATTTCAGAAAAGTAAATACAGCTCCAGAACAAATGTTTTCATTGGCCTTTGAGACAATCAATGTCAACTATCCTACAGATCAATGTCTCCAAGTCTTCACTCATGGATTATACGTAGAAAACCAATCAAACGCTGGTGAAGGTGTCTACTCTGAACTACTCTCTTTTTTCGCAGCAGTGGGACAAAAATAGATTCGCATCTGAAAAGGATATAGAGGTCATTAAGATAGCACTAGACCGATTGTGCTGCATGGATACGAAATTCACCAAAGCAGTTATTCTTTTGGACTCACAGTCAACAATAACTTCAATTGGAAACAGAGAACCACCCAAAACAGCCTAGAGACAAGAAAGTAAAAACCGCATCAGTTACTGAAAGAAAAAACACTGTGGCATTAAAGGCAATGAGCGGCCTGACACACTTGCTAAGAAGGGGACCACAATTTTGTAAAAAAATATAGATAAAACTTTTTCATAGTTCCAGCCATAGCGACATCATTGTAGATTGGTAATCTTTTTTATTTTTTTGATTTTAGATTGCTTGGAGAGCCAAAATCGTGGGTATGGTCATGCACCATATTTTGGGACGCCTCTCTAAATCAGCTGATAAATAAAAAAATTTAACTTTTATTATTTTTAAGTTTTTTTGTATGCTTCTAAGGTGAATAAATAATATATTAAAAAAACTGATAATAAAAATATTGCTTGCTATTTTTACGGCACTTCTAAAATGACCTAAAGTTCATGTCTCTAGACCAGAATAATACCTTAAGAAAGCCGAAGTGAACTAAGAGGCTAATGATAAATATTATAAAATTCTGTAATTTGTAATAATAATAATAATAATGTTCCTGAAATCTTAGTATAGTTCACAATTGGTTCGCGTTTGTCAAAAACACTATCAACTGACAAGATTTCGCACCTATGCTTCAATAAAAATCTTTTGTGAGTGCTCAACCTCGCTATTCTTCATCATTACCATCCCGGATGAATTACCAAAGTGCATTTCAATTAACCCGGCTGTTATCTACGTATTATTTTTTCCCAAAATTTGGCGGGCTGAGCAGGAAAAGGCAGGTTTAAAGGCAATTCAAAAGACGAGAGAATTACACTATTGAAAAAGAATTTTGCTAAAAGTAAATCTCTGCCTTTTACGACTATTAACGCCTCAATCAAGCACCAGCCTTGGCCCCGCAACCTGAAGAAAGTAGTTTTTACATTTTCCTGGGAAAAGTAACAAAAAATGGTCCCATTCTACCATTAACTAGTTGATCTTTGTAGTAAAGGCACGGTGGTTATTGTCATTCTAAATATCGCCCATTAATCATACAATATCAGGGGACTTCCCCTAAGTCGAAAGTTTCTTCACATTTGCCAGATCATTTCGAGAGCCTCTTCTCGGAGAAGTTAACCCCTTCGAAACTTTTTTTTCAATTCAGGGCAGTGAAAGTCTTTATCGAAAGCTAACTTTATGATGGAAGCTGAAGCATTCAAGTTACGTTAACGAAAAAGTCCGAATTCCAATGATATGTGCTCCAGTTCATGACACATTGTTTTCACAGGGCGTGGGGGGGGGGGGTGGAATTCAGCAACGTGATGATCTCCTTATATTGATAGCGTCACGAATAATCATGTAATGAGTTAATGACTTTTTTAATTAGGTTGGTGAAAGGCATTCTTTTTCATTGTCTTCACGTAGTTGAATGAAAAGGAAACAAAACTTTAAAAGGAAGTTAGTGTTCCATAAATGCATGTATATCCAGGTGCAACCTTACTCTTGGCTCTATTCCGTCGTTACCCAACTCCGACTGATCAGCTCCCCTATGTTCCATCCAAATATTATCTGCGCTGAAGTTCTTTAGAGAGAATTCTCCTGATAAGTTAGAATTTTAACTTACCAATTCGGAAGGTGAAAATTAAGGAAAAATTTATTTTAATTTTACAACCAGTATAATAGAGTTCAGAAGCTGAAAGAGACATCCTATTTAAAAGCCAACAAATTCTTAGTTCAAAAGAACGAAACTTAAGATAGCTCACAAGTGCATCAGATTATCGAAAGCGAAAAGGAAAGGGAGGTGGTTACACATCAAAGATGGGTATGCGACAGTGGAATTGAATGGAACGGTTAAACAAAGTATTCTCCTTTGAGGCTTTAAATGACGCGGTCATTGTTTGCTTTCGAGTGACTGACAAACAAGGCAGGAAAAAGGAGCCAATGGATGCGTAAAAATGTAGAGAAATTAGAGATCTTTCAGACTATTCGATTTCCAAAATATTTGAAATAATTGAATATATTAGCACAAAGGGGGAATGAAAATAGGGAGAGCTTTGGGACAATTATATTTTCGAAGATTAAAGCCAGTCAAGTGATTTTTCTTCCCTAAAGTCCAGGTCCCATTTGGAAATGAAAAGCAGTGCCAAGATGTAGGTTTTATCAACATAAGATGAATTCACAGTGAATGCGTTCAGTTAATTTAACTACATTTATTCTGGAATAAAATGAGAAGAATAGAACTGGGGTGGTGAAAAATTACATATAATGTCAAGGAATTTGAAACGGTTGACACTAAAACACCGAAATACTTTACTATTGCTTTTAAATTATTTTAAGTGAAAGGAATTCAGTCTGGTTTAGGTGAAAAGGAACATGAGTGCCTCACGACTGCTTATTCATTCAAACTTAATGCTTAAATAGTATGATTTTTTATTTTGTACTTCTATTTACCATTCTGTTTAGACCCATGTTTCCCAGACTACTGCGATTATTCACCATTTATTTCCTTAAAACTCAATCTTCTCAACTCTGAACGCCATTCCATAAAATTAAAGATAGATAGTAGAAGGTTGAAGAAAGTAAGAGCCAAGTTTTCTAAGCTGTGGGAATATTGTGAAGACAAATATGTCGAGTTCTTAAAAGTTATGCCAAGTTTTCATAACCGACTAGTAAGAAAAAAATAAAATAAAATGAGTTCAATTTCATCTCCGAAATGAATCATTCCAGACTTCATATATGCAGAATATTATATATATATATATTGCTGATATGCAAAAATACGATGAATATTGAAAAAAATAAATAATACTAAAACTATCAAGACGTAATGATATTCATGAAAACATTTCGAAAATATTTATTGGAAAATTAAATACCAAAATATAATGTTATTTTCTTACGAATTTTTTTGGTAATATGAAAGCTATGTTGAATAACGAACAATGTTCGAAAGTTTTCTATTTTAACATATTTGAAGGTAATTTATAAATAAATAAACATATATAAATTATTTTTGTTTTTGGTGTGTCAAATTAAGATTGTTCGAATATATTTCTTAACAAGCGCTGCCCGCCTTTGTTGTACTTTGTACTTTTTATGGCTTCCGACGCTATTCGCAGGAAACTTGTTGTGGTTGGTGATGGTGCTTGCGGCAAAACATGCTTGTTGATTGTTTTCAGTAAATCTACATTCCCAGAAGTGTATGTTCCAACTGTGTTCGAAAACTATGTTGCTGATATTGTATATAACGATGTCAATGTGGAGCTAGCTCTATGGGATACGGCAGGCCAAGAAGACTACGACCGACTCAGACCGCTTTCTTACCCCGAAACAAGTGTTGTCTTGATGTGCTTCTCAATTGACAGCCCTGATAGCTTTGAGAATATTTCCGAAAAGTGGTTAGCTGAAGTAAAACACTTTTGCCCAAATACACCTATAATTCTTGTTGGAAATAAGATGGATTTGCGTGATGACCCAGCTACTATTAAAGAACTGGCAAAGTTCAACCAGGAACCGGTTAAAGCGCAACAGGGCATGGAGAAAGCTGACAAGATTGGAGCATTTAAATATGTTGAATGTTCAGGTATGAAATCTAAAATTGATATGATCTTTCTTTAGCAAAAACAGGTGAAAATGTCCGAAAAGTCTTCGAATTAGCCGCCGAGGCCGCTTTGTCTTCTCATAAACCTAAGAAGAGGAGGTGTAATTTGATATAGTCCTCTCTGTATTTTCCAATAATTCTCAAACAAAAAATCATGCAAGATAGAATAACACCCATTCGTTTTATATGCGATTGGCGCTTTTCCCCTCATCTATAATTCCTCTCTATCTCTTGTTCGCTTTGTGGTATGTACTAATTGAATCTAATTGTTTCGTGAGCAATTTGTCATTTTTCCTTGTGAAATAACGTTTTTCGAACCTCTCAATTTGATTCTACGGACAGTCAGCTTATTTTGATATGCTGATTATATTCTGGTATTTATATTTTTGTTTTAATATCTTTGTTTATTTCCTAATTTCTTACAGGTTATATTTGCTATCTGTTTGCTCGTAACACACGTCTATTTCGTTTTCTACTTGATTTATGTTTCGTTATTCTGTCAGGAACTAGTTTTGATTAGAATTGAAATCTTTTTAAAGATCATAGTCTATTCATTTTCTGTGTAGCTAGTTTAAATATTCTTTACGATTTTCCGAAGCTTTCTATTTTACCATAAAGACTGGTTATTATTCTCCTATTCTCGATTTCGTGTTATGGGAGTTGGTGTGTTCATGATTTCTGGGTGAATTTCAAGAGACAAAAAGAACCATGTTTTCATTGTTGTTTCTCCTAATTGGAATGAACTATTAAACAGAAGTGAGTTAGTTCATTTGGCCTTTTTAATTGTTCTGGCAGTTGAATACAAACTGCTCATGATTGTAACATCACCACTCACAGATCTAAGCATTCGTTAGAAGTCGTAAAAATACGTTTCGCATTGTGACGCGAGTTTTAGATAATCGCTGATTCTGTATGCACTAGCGTCTGTATAATTAGCGACGAGCTTTGTCGCTCTGGAATTAGTGCTTTATTGGCGCGTTGAAGTGTCATACTCTTCGCGTCAGTGTCTTGAGTGCGGTGGTTGATTTCTCTCGTTCAAGTGACAAATTAGACTTGTAGGTTAGCTAAAGCTCCAAGCCTATTAGCGTTTTGTTTGAAAGGTTTCGTTCTTATACACATTTAACTAAATTTTAAGGATACGCAGGTCCGTGTAGATATTGTCCTTCTGTGCTGAGTTTGCAGAGTTCTTTAATTGCTGCTTTATCGCGGGTAAAGATATGTTTTTCGTGAGGACAAATTTAAGGACGTATTTTACAACTACTTTGCTCGCTCTAAACTCGAGTACGTTTTATTAATCTTTGCTCTCCAGTGCAATTATTTAAGAAAATTGCGAAGTGTATTCCGGTATGGAGCCTTTGTGAGTAATGTTAAAAATAATGCGGACCTCGAAATAGCACCTTCAGATTTTTCTAGAAAAAATATATGGGAATTAGTATTTTTCGCAATTAGTTCGCGAAGCTTATGTGGGTGGAGTGATCTGTGTGTGGAAAATTGTAAATCTATCTCGATATAAATCAATTTTTTTCTCTAAAGTAGAACAAACATGTATTTCTCATGAACTTACACGGATCGAAGTGAGGTTGCTTTTCGCGGATGTTTGTATGAATTGTTGAAGTTTTTACATTTTTTATCCTGAAATTTAGTCTCTATTTGACCTCGTAGTTTTGTTTCTGATATTCTCATTGTGTTACTTCTATTTAAGTAGAGAAGATCGATTAGCTTTAAGTGGTTTTATTTTGTTAATCGAATGGTCGGGCAGTAATTCGTTAAGATTCTAAAGTGGACACTTGAAGCCAAGATTTCGTGAATGGGTGGGATTGACTATGGGAAAGATTCTTGAAGTGTTCATTGCTATATGACGGGCAGAATCGTCTCATCCTCAAGTGGCCATAGTTCCGCCGTAGCTCATATGAGGAGGAGTTTCAGGTCAATTCTCATTTTCCTTCCAGGAACTTAACCTACTTCACCTGGAAACTCTAAGGCCCTCTTGCAACTGGCATGGCAGTTGGTATCAACAGTGTTCAGCGAGGTGCATTCCATCGATGGCCAAAATAGGTGTTATCAGATTCATCTGACCTTGTTAAGCAGCATCATTAATTAAACTGAAAGAGTCCTCAGTTTATTGTCTTAGGTGTCTAATTTGTATTACCTTGGCAGCACTGGAACCTCGAAAACCCAAGCTTATCGTCAATATTACCTTCGGAATTTTCCAGGAATCGACATCCGCTGGTTGACAAAAACGTTTGTCAGAAGTTGTTACTATTAAATGGAACAAATCGTAGTACAGTTCATCATTTCCAAATTTACGATTGTGAGATGCTTTAATCTCGACATATCTTGGGTGGTCTCCCGTGATGTCATGTTGCCGAGTTCTGAGCTCCGAATATTTTGAGGTTGAGACCTAAAGGAGATAAAGGTATAACTCTTCCTGCACATATTTAACCTAATTCATTTGTTTATTGATTAGCCTCTGTAAATAATAGGATTAGTCATCCATTTGAAACCCCACTATTAATGAATAGGTTTCGGCTTTACATAAATTCGGTTTAAGTAATTGTTGAAGAACCTTACATTTGACCCAGTGGTTAATTATTAGTTCGCAAAGTAAGATACTGTAGCAAGCATGATCTAGGTCATAAATATTAAAAAAGGTGGAGCGAAAATAGTCTCTAAGTCTAAAGAATTCCCAAAAAATGAAAAAGTGATCGTTATCCCGCCTAGGTTATATCCGTTCACAGCAGTATGAGACGTCTCACTTTCAACATTCTCACTGGTCTGCATGCCTAGCTGCCAACCTGGTCTATTTCCCATCCCTCTGTGGCAGCCCGTTTGGTGGCCTAAAAGTAGTCATTAATGTATTTTCAGTAAATAGATTAATGATATAAGATTCCGTTAAAAGGAATTGTTAGAATGAGTGGGTGTGCTATACTTTTTCCGAAAACAACTTAATATTACCTAGCTGCTACCCAAGAACTAATTCACCGAGACGATAAAGCGATCGCGAATAGTTTGGCTAACTGTTAATAGTCCTGCAATAACCTAGATTATAGCTATAAGCTAAAGCTTCTTGACATCCTTTAGAAGTTTCATATTTGATAACAAGACTTTGTCACATCGATGATTGTATCCGTATACGGGCGTAATGCCATATTTCCCATGTCACCTCACTTTCAAATTAGCTCTATTAAACCCTTATGTTTATGACCCTTGGTCTATTTATCGGCTTATTGTTATGCAAGATAAAATCGATTACGATAATTACATAAGTTAAAACTTGAGGGATTGTTCTCTAATTGTTAACCGGAAATATTCACCAGACAAGTATTAAGTTAAATCGGTTTGATCAGCCAAATGAACATTGAAAGTTCATACCAGGAATATGAGTCGTGAGGAGGGGGGGAGACGCCAATATTTCGAGCTATTGGAGAAAGTGAGGAGTGATACTTCGTGATATGGATCATGTAGAATTTATCTCTTGGCCTCTTTTCGATAAACATCTAACAGATCGGTTCCAGTTCACTTAGTCTCCAAAAATAAGTGCATCTTTCTTAGGGTTGAGTGACGACTTAGGAGCAATACATTAATGCTAGTAGAAATAGGTCCTTACCTTGAAAGAAAGGATATATATATATGTGTGTGTAAATAAGCGAGTTTCTTTATTCGCGTTACGGGTGAACTTGTTACGAAGCGTCGATTCGCTTAATCATTATAACAGCAATTAGTTTAGTAAAAAGTGTTTGAATATGAATTATTGTGAGCGTTAGAGTTCGACTCAACTATGAAAGGTACCTTATACGGGAAGTTAGTCTTCTATTAAGGTAATCATATTGATAAATATACCATTAATTGATAGAAATTGGGATTTAGAGGTTTCATGAGTACGACGACCAAGAGAAGACATCCATTTTGTCAGCCATACCGCATCCCCCCCCCCCCCAAGCGACAGTTAGCTGAGTTTGTATAATGGTATGGTCGGTGGCTACGCCGATTTCCCTTTTTTCGGATATGCTCTTATAAGTAATCGGCAGAAGTAACTAACGAATATGAGAGTAATCCTTATTATACCTAGGCACGTATGCAGTACATTTCAATTTGGAAATGGTTAATTATAAGGCTTACATTTATAATGAAGAATTATGCCTACTTCTAACCTGCGAAACTGAAATGAAATATGGTTTTGGCTCCTAAGAAATCCTACTTTGCATGGCTTCATTTTCTCCACATTTATTAAAACAATGCAACGACCTTCAGGATAGGGGGTTTTTCAGTTAGAATTGTATTTCATGTTTGAATGCTTCCGCCATCCAAACTGAGTCTTACACCCTCTTTATCTTCTGCATGACTCATACTTTCTTGGTCCTCTTTTCGATTATAAATCGAAAACAAGTGTGTCTAGAGCATTGAAAGGAGGTATTTGTTAAGTGAAGGTTATAATTACGTCTGTGTCCTTTTAAAAGGTTTGTTTATACTGATGAGTGCCGATTATCTAATTCGGGTATGTGAATATTCTCGAGTGGGCTAGCGAATTAATAAACAAGTGATCACTGAACTGAAGGGTTCATAGATAGGGAAGAAGGAAGCATGCCTAACTACGTCCTAATTTAGTCCGATTACTCTATGTTCCCTTCCTCGAATTGCCAAAGAAATATTTAATGGGAGTTAAGAGGATTTTTATATTTCGATCCTGAAACATGAATAATTTTATATTAATCTTGTATGATGACGATGATGATAATTATGACGTTGATCGACAATCTCTGGTGAGGGGCTATTGAGTAGGACTGAAAATATTCCAACTCATTCTTGGAGGCGTTGGCACATGACATAACGGAGATCTTTGTTATCTGATCATGCTTTTCTTAATATTTGGGTGTTTTTAAATCTTGTATTTATCGTGGCTAACACAAATGAATATATATGTTCTTCTTCTTCTTAATAATAGCATGATTAATTAACACACCTACCACAGTGGAGAGCAAAAGGCTGGCAAGTCTGAATCAAAAATCTCATGCACACTCGAACATTCTGGAAGGTGCGTCATGCATGCAATTGCCTTCTCAAATAATCAGCTTTTAATAGTCATTGAGAGGCCCGTTAAATATGTGTATTTGCTAA